ACACGAAGGGAACACTTATCTGCGCAAATAGGGTTCTCTACAAACGCCGCTACCAGGGCTAACACGAGAACAACACACGCAGAGGTTTCTCCTCTAGGGTCCCTAGCATAGAGACATCGCCCCATATGAACGAGTTTAAAGGAAGGTAGAGATTAAAACAGGAAAGCCTAGTTCATTTCTACAGAGCAAGCTTACATACGGTTTTCCCTTTCGGGAAACCCCAAACACTTAGCACAAACCTTAGGGATTAACTTACAAGCTCAGGAAGATCACAGGGACTTCCTTTATTCTCTAATTTATAACGGTGAAGTGGCTACTAAGTAAGTGGAGTATTAGTACTAAAGGTGGACGAACTCAGAGGACTCCTGAGATCGTAGTCTTCATGATGTATGTGTGAGTGGAGAGATGGTGGAGTGGTGGTGTGGAGTTGAGTCTTTAGTGGATGAGTTCCTGGTGATGGTGCTGGTGATCTTCGGTCTCATTGGTGGTCTTCAGTCCGATAATGCATGAATGCGCCTAGTGTCTCTCTTTATAGCGCGAAGGGAGCCTTCTGGATTGTCCTTCATGCTTATCATCTGGAGTTACTTCGTGCTTAAGTCTTCTGGTGTCTTCAATTATTCTCCTTTACTGCTGGCTGGACAGCTGGACGGAGCTGTGTGCTTCAATAATTGTCCTGGCTACAGTAGAGTGACTATATATTCCTTTTGCGCTGTCTTCTAACACACTCGGTCTTATCCTTCTGGATATTCTTTTAGTATGGTCTACCACGCCCGAATGATTGATGTTTCAAATATCAAATCAAGGATTCTGGCATGTAGTATTATCTTTCCCCGGCCGAATTGTTGATAACACCTTATCAACATAGGGAGTATATTTCTTATATAAAACATATATATTGATATTGAACTGAGTCTGTATTGACTCTTCTTATGACTCCTCAATATTTTTTTCGTTGTCTACTTCTTCAGATTGCCACATTTCATATCAGGACAACAATTCATGATATTATTTTTGTAATTGACATTCTTTGCCATAACTAGGCTTTATTAGTCTTCCAACTTATCTTTGTATTATACTATATCTTCAATAGTATTCTCATAAGAATACTTTTATTATTTTATTTTAGTACATCATATAATATTCAGGAGCAAATTTGGTATTTTCTACTAATTATTTTGCTTCACTGAAATTCTCCAATTATCATGGTTCGTGTCTTTTAGCTCTTCATAATTTTACCATGAATCTGAAGTCCATGTAGTAGGAAATTTGTATGATCCCTTTGTGATATATATATCATGGCATGCTGGTCTTATTGGTTGTGTAAATTTTGGTGGATTTGAACAAAACTTAATTTTATATCTCCCTTGAATATATGGTAATTTCTTACAAGCTTCTTTGATAGCTATTCCCAGGTCTGATTGGAAAATTTCTTCAAGTGTACCATATATATCATGGATTAACCCATGATCAATAATAGTTTGTAGAGAGATATCATCTCCAATATTTCTTTGTATGCTTCTAAAATATTTTAAATTTATATCATCCCTCAATATCAAGAATCTTTGATGAGGCTTAACAATTAATTTATCATCGAGATGAAGTAAAGGAAAAATATTTGCATTCGCATTTATTCCTAGATGCCTTTCTTTTCCTTGGTATAATTTCATAAAATAGTTTTGTATATCATGAAAGGTTTTGTAATGCCTTTGAGCATATTTCTTCCAAATTAGATCTATAATATCTTGAGTAAAGTATGACAAAATTTGTTCAGTCTTAAAACTTAATCTAGAAATGAAGAACTCTTGTGGAGTATAGTTTAAATATTTGTTTCCTTTTTCCTCTAGAATTACTTCTACTTATTGCACTTTATTTTCCTCATATATTATTTTAGCTTCTGACTCATTTTTTATATCATTCTGCTGTTTTAGACATGACATACATGTTTGTCTTAAACATAACCTACATGTTGCTCTTTTTGCTGGATCTTGATAATATATGCAAAATACACGTTTTATATTAGAATCACCTTTTTTATGATCCAACTTGTGTTCGCAGTTTATTTGATCCATCATTTCTATCATTATTCCTGCTAACTCATCAATTAAGCCTAACTCTTCTTCACTTGATTCTTTTTCTTCGTCATATTCTATTTCATCTGTCTGTATAATTGAGTATATCGATTCATCATCCATTATATCATCATCATAGACTAAAATATTTTGATTCACACTATCTATTATTAGAACCTTTTCTTATTCTTCTTGCTTATTGGAATACCTTTTCTTGTCTTTATTAGGACATGTTTTGCTTAAGTGATTTGGCGAGTTGCAAATAAAGCATCTACATGTACTATCATAATTTTTTTCTCGGATTATATCTTCTTGCATTTCTCTTATGGAGGAATGGAGCTCTATTGTCTGATCTTCTTAGAAAATAACGTCTCTTTGTCCTTACATTTCCTTTCTTATAATTCTTAGGATATTTCTTGTTTCTATATCTCTCTTCTCCATATGTCAATGGTATTTGAACTATTTTATAGCAAAAATTATAATCTGATTGTTTCATTGATCTTTGGGCTTGTATGTTCGTGCATATTTTTCTTAACTGTTTGAAAACGAATGTTATAGCCTGAGAGATGTTATATTCTTTACCATTAGTGTCTTTTTTATATTCTTCAAATATCATAGAACCTAAAGGATCCGGTAATTTATTAAAATATCTTTCAACTATACCTTGGTTATAGCCTTGCTTAGCAGTCGTAGCATTATACAAAATAGTGTTGAGAAAATTCTTTTATTCCTTTCCAGCTTGTTAGTGATAATTTTTCTATTTCTTTTAATCTTTCGTTCTGTAAAACAGTAAATCCTAATTGAGGATCTTCACCTATTGCAATACTTGATATAATATTTGCAAAATTATATGGGTTACTACCAGCTATTTTTAATTGGGCATAATGATTAGGGAAAGCTTCTACCCATTGTTCCCATAAAATTTTAACTGATTCTCCTAAAAATGTTTCTAAATATATAATCATATCTTCTACTCTATTTTCAATATTATGCTGATTTTGTATATACTACATTGTCAAATCATGAACTAATTAGGCTTAAAAAATTCATCTTGCAAATTCGTCACAATATGTGCAATAGTTATTTTTTTTAGTTTATATTTAATACTACATGTCCGTGTCCAAACATTCAATGTGATAGAAAGTAAACTTTAGAGGGAGAAACTAAACAATGCTTGTACTCCGGATATATCAAGAATGACTGGCAGGAGGCGGGCTGCTGATGATTTTGATCCCTTCCTTGGATCAGGTGCCGGCTGCCGTCAACTGAATTCTCTCCCCAGATCCTGTAGTACTAGGGAGGGATGCGCGCTTGCCCGATGCCCGCCTGGATGGCTGATGTTGGTGTTGAATAGCTCTACACGGAGACATCCCTAGAGAGTCTGCCCTGGTTTAGATGGGTGAATTTGGATTTTGGGGCTACTATAGCATGTTCGTTTTTATTTGGCAAATAGTGTTCAAACATGGACTAATTAGGCTCAAAACGTTCGTCTCGCAATTTCCCACCAAACTGTGCAATTAGTTTTTATTTTCGTCTACATTTAATGCTTCATGCACGGGCCGCAAATATTCGATGTGACAGATACTGTAGCAACTTTTTGGACTTTGGGATCAACTAAACAAGGCGTCTGTTCATGTTTGGACCTATGTTAGGCTGCTGCGTATGCCGTAACGGACACTGGCGGAGCCAGGGGGGGCTGGCAGGGGCCATGGCCCCCCCAATGTTTGACAACAAAAAAAATTAGTAGTATAACTTAATATTTTTTATTTATATTAAGAGGAAGATTATATAAAATTCTTGTCATATATACCTATTAATATCTTCTAGATAATATAATCATACAAAACACAACTAGATAATAAAATTATCGTAATGAAAAAGACCGAGCCGGCCCCCCTAAGTATAATTCCTGACGGCCGACCCCCCCTGACTATAAATCCTGGCTCCGCCGCTGGTAACGGAGGAAGTGAAGTTGGTGCGATGTTTCCTGTTTCTATTTGGGCTGTTATGTAAACGTCAGCACGCATTATGTGATTGTATAAATAACCAATTTCACCGCACACGCTACGTTCTGTTCGAGTGTTCGCGCTCTGGTGTCCCACCGCCCCGCGTGAGCCGCACGCGGACACGGCAAGTCAAAAGACCAATGGGCCACGGTACTTCTCAAAAAAAAAAACGCGCTAGGCAGGGAGATGGTCCTCGCCTTCCAAGATACCTACCGTGCGTAAAGACTAAAGAGTGCCTTTGGTCTCCGGGGAAAAATGCTGAAATGAACCTGACCAGCAAGTTCCAACCTCGCAAAGTTCAATGATACCTACAGTGCATTTATTATGCTATAGACGCACCTTCCCCAGTCGCGGCCGCCATGTGGGGACGAACACGCCACGCCCACGCGGTCTTTGCCTTGCGAAGTTCGCCCCCATTTCTTGGTTAGGGCACGTTTAGTCGGCGAAATTTTTTTGTTTCGGCTACCGTAACACTTTCGTTTGTATTTGACAATTAGTGTCTAATTATGGACTAATTAGGTTCGAAAGTTTCGTCTCGCGATTTCTCACCCAACTGTGCAATTAGTTTTATTTTTCATCTACATTTAGTATTCCATGCATGTGCCGTAAGATTCGATGTGACACTTTAGAGTGAAAATTTTTTGAACTAAACATGGCTGATGAGACCTCCACTACACTACCACTCCAGAGTCCAGACCAGCCGACCAGCAGCATCGTATCGTGGATTATTTACTGCTGACTGGTTTGGTGTAAGAGAAAAACACTGCTCCTAGCTAGAAATTTACGATCGTTTACGAGCAAGCGAACAGGGCAACCCCAACCCCAACTCAACCGACAGTTGTGTGGCACACTGCGGCTCTGCTGAGCGCTTCTTCTCTCTTGTTACATTACACGGCAAGCGAGCGAGCGAGAGAGAGAGAGCGTTATGGAAGGCGCGGCGCAAACATTTCTGAGCAACGCCGGGCAGCTGCTGAGTTCAGAGTACCAGCAGCTCAGTGGCGTCGGCGGCCAAGTTGTTGAGCTGCGGGACGAGCTAGACGCCATCAATGCTCTCCTCATCATGCAGTCCGAGGCAGAGGATGGGGCCGTGGACCGCTTCCTGCAGGTGTGCATGAGGCAGCTGGGCGAGGTTGCCTACGACGCGGAGGACTGCCTCGACCTTTACACCCTGCGCATCAGGTCCCGGCCCACTGACGGCGTGTGCGCCTGGCTGGGACGCCTGCTCGGGACGCTCCCGTCTCGCCGCCGCCTCGCCTGTGAGATCAGAGCCCTTCGCGCCCGCACCCTCGCCATCAGCGAGTGCCAGGCGCGGTTCGGCGTCAACCGTGACGCGCTGCGCCGCTCCCCTCCTCTGCTACCCGCCCCCATGACAGTGTCCGCTCCAGCTAACGACGCCGACCGCCGCCACCGACTGGTCGGCATCGCGGAGCAGGCTGATAAACTGGCTGCACGGCTGAAGGCGCCGGTTGGCGACGAGGGTGAACGCAAGGCCGTTTTCTCCATCGTGGGGTTCGGCGGCCTTGGCAAGACGACGCTGGCCATGGAGGTGTGCCGGCGGCTAGAAGCGGAGTTCCCGTGGCAGGGGATGGTGTCCGTGTCTCAGGCGTTCGAGCTGAGCAGGGACCTCAAGGTGTTGCTCACGAACCTTCTTCGGCAGGTCGCGAAGCCCGAAACAGCTGACGACAGGGGCATCAAGGAAGAGGCTGCCCTGGGTGCAATCGACGACCTGGATGGCAACGGGCTAGCCAAAAGACTCGAGGAGCTTCTCGTGGACAAAAGGTAGTACTGTACTCCTTCTGCCCCAAATTATACGATATTTTAGCTTTCCAGATACTCCCTCCGTTTCAAGTCAAAGTAACTTATAATTTGGAACGGAGAAAATACTTAGTTTTTGTTACGTGTGCCTCTAAATTAAAGGACCTTCCAATTTATACTATCTAATGATAAAAGTGACTTCCCACGGACCATGGTAGTTCTAATGATACCATATTTACACTATCTATTGCTATTGGCTCCGTTCGGCTTGCTGAATTTTGGCTGAAACTGACTGAAAAATACTATTCTGGCTGAATTGTTCTGAGAGAAAAACACTGTTCCGGTTGAAAAAACAAGCCAAACAAGCCAAATATAGGGTAAGCCGAACGGGGCCAATAATAGTCTTCCTTTGAAAAGTTCACATTAACCCTAATTAGAAGTACAACGCCTGTAATGATTGTCACTATTGGATCTATTCTGTTTTTCTAATTACCACATCTGACATTGTGAAAATAATATAAGGCAAGCCCTTAATCTTCATCCTAACTAATCATGCATCTATGCCACTATGAAAGTATAGGCTCATAAATTTGCATTTAAATCACCGGCCTAACCATTGTTGTAAATAACCTAAAGTAACCTATGGCAATATCGTTACACTAGTAGAGAACAAACTTTTCGTTTGGATTGGTTTTTGGCTTTAGTCTCGGCCATATTTGGATCCGGGACCAAAGAGAGGATTAGTCCTGATTGGGGCAACCAATCGGGATTAAAGTCACCTGCCCAACGGCGAGAGCCATAGGCTTTTGCACGAGGGAACCTCTAGTTCAGGTTATGAAAAATCACATAAAGTAATTGTCTAAATTTGCATCTACCTACATCTATCATTTATAAAATACCAAAGTACTAATATATGTGCTTATACAATATCCACCTCTGACTTCTTAAATATAGAAACAAACTAACTTAAGTAATACAATCATGATGCCAGTCACCATTGGCACTAAGGTCCCATTTGGTGGAGCTCTGGCCGGCTTGGCTCTAGCTCCTCCTTTGGCCGTGTAGCAAAAAGTTATTGTATCTTTCTTATCAAAATAAACTAAAAACCGTATTTTTTGCTTCACCCGCTCTGGTTTCTCCACGCACTATAGCAAGGAGTTGAAGTCGTGACAAACATGACCTTGTATACATATTTGTATAAGAAACAATGGTCACATATCTATTTCTAGGTCAAGCATATTAGTTGAAACTAAGGTTTTAGCTAAGTATATGTCAAATACACATAGAGACGTGTGGCAATCACTTCTATAGAAAACTTGCTAGAGGCGGGCGGAATCGATTAACGGAGACGTACATTGCAACCACTTCCAATCAAACGCCTTCGTTAATGCAGATTAATGGAGGCGGTTGCTTTGCCCACCTCAGGCGGAATCAATTAACGGACCTCCGTTAATGTTCTCCAGAAAATCCAAAAAACCAAAAAACTTGCAACTTTGGAGAGTTAAACCCACAACTTGGCGCTCAACACTACCACATCTCTACCACTGAACCACACACTAATTCATGTCTATATATAATATGTTATTATTTTATATCAATATTTTGTAATCTTATATTGAATAATTTGGCTACTAAATGAACTCAAATGGAAAAACTTTTAACTACAAAGTTTTAAATCTTGTTAAGTACTACAACTTTGGTGCGGGATGTATCTCCATCGGAGATAGTTTGAAATTTTTAAAAAATTGAGTCTCAAAACATGTGAATTTCAAAAACACATATTTGAGACTCTAGATGACTTTAAATCAGAAACTTGTCAATATAAAACAAGTAGATTGGGTCGGCCACTAGAACTTTGGTATTAACTATGTGAACATTTGATATCGTTTAGGAATTCTAAATTTTAAATTTGAAAATCTATAACATTCGAACACGTATTTGGGACTCTAAATATCTTCAAATTAAAAACTTTTCAACTACAAAGTTGTAGATTCTATTGAGAACTTTAACTTTTGTATAGACCATGTCAACATCCAAGATCGTTTGATAATTTTAAATTTCAAATTTCAAAATCTGTGCATTTACAACAATATTTTGGGACCCTAAACAGTTTCAATTCAAAAACTTTTCAACTACAAAGTTGTAGATCTCGTCGAGAGCTACAATTTTGATATAAAGTTTGCCTTCATCCGAATTCATATGAAAAAGTTTTGAATTATTTTTTGTTGCAATCACTAATCGAGGCATACATCTAGAAGGCACCCGCCTCTGTAAATCGATTTACGGAGGTGGACCCTTAGAACGACCGCCTCCAAAAAAAACCGACCACCTCCAAAAATAAACAATTAACGGAGAAAGACGTCTTAAGTTGCCCTCTTCGGTTAATGGATTCACAGAGGTGGATGCTTAATGCTGCTTGCCTCTGTTGAGCATTAACCAAGTGGCGGGTGCTCGGGCGGCGGCCCTGCCACCTATTAACGGAGGCGACCGTCCAGCCCGCCCGCCTTAGATAATAAAATGGCACTGTCTCGCAAAATCTTTTCTATAGTAGTGAATGTGGAAAACAATAAATGGGTATTAAAAAGTATATAGTAAGTATAATTGGAAACTAAAATCTATCACAACTAGGGAAAGATAAGAAAATATCTATATAAATACCGTGTTAGAACACGAAGAATTAGAGAGGAAAAATGGAAGTAGTTTGAATAGATGCGGCCTAAACTTATCTATGAATTTCTAACACTTCCCACTCTTCTAATATGTATAGAGCATGAGTTGATAGACTAGTATAAGAAATAATAATAATTGCACTTCCCAATCTTGTAACCTTGTTCTGCAAAAATAAAGAGACTGCACATAAACATTTTCATACATTTTGCACATGAGGGGTCATAAATTGCCTTCTGGATATATGGCTAAACTAACTATATTACATATGCTTAAACCAGGTACCTCATAGTGATTGACGATGTTTGGAGTGTGCGAGCATGGGAGGCAATCCAATCCAAGCTACCAGAGAACAACAAGGGTAGTAGAATCATCTTGACCACTCGGATAGAAACAGTGGCCAATGCATGCAGTCCTGCTAGTTTTAGTGGCCTTTGCATTCATAAAATGGAACCCCTTAAGCTTGAAGATTCCAAGAAGTTGTTTGTCAGTAGAGTGTTTGGCTCCATGGATGTCGCTTACCCCAAGGAGTTTGAAGATGTAATGAGTGACATCTTGAAAAAATGCGGTGGGCTACCATTGGCCATTATCAGCATTGCTAGTGTTTTGGTAGGGTACAAATCACCAGGAGGCAAAGATAAGTGGGATAGAGTATGCAAATCACTTGGTTCTCAAATGGAGATCCACCCTACCCTTGAGGGGATGAAGCATATAGTCACACTTAGCTACAATCACCTCCCACATGAGCTCAAGGGTTGCATGATGTACTTTAGCATTTTTCCAGAGGACTATGTGATCAGAAAGGGGCGACTATTGAACAGATGGATGGCTGAAGGATTGGTTCACCAAAAGCGGGGGTTGACCATGTGGGAGGTTGCAGAGTCTTACTTGGACGAACTCTTGAGTAGGAACATGATTGAAGAAGCAGGCCATTTGGGTGGTTATGCCTGGATGGAGCAAACATACAGGGTGCATGACATGCTTCTTGAGGTCATGGTGTCCAAGTCCTTGGAAGCTAACTTTCTTAGCCTGCATGGAGGGCAGTATAAGGGGATGTTGTATGACAAGATCCGTCGCCTCTCCATCCATGCGGACGTAGAAAGTGTAGATTCTGTAGCAAAGAGAAATGTTGAAGGCCGCCGAGGTGAGGATAATTTGAACATACAACATGTTCGATCACTGAGCATGTTCCAGCTCCATGGGCAACACAAGCTCCTAAAAACGCTAGGCAACTTCGTCCTCTTGAGGGTGCTTGACCTAGAAGACTGTGAGGGAGTAACAAACAAGCATGTAAGGTACGCCTGCAATCTGTGCCTACTTAGGTTCCTAAGCTTGAGGGCCACAAACATAAGCAAGGTGCCTAGGCAGATCGGGAATCTAGAGCATTTACAGACGCTTGATCTGGCTTACACGCTTCTTACTAAGCTACCAGAAACAATCACAAAGCTAGAGAAACTCGAGGACATACGGTTCTGCAACAAGGATCTTTGGGGTACTATGTGGACTATGCCCCGAGGAATAAACAAAATGAAGGCTCTACATGTGCTGCGTAGGGTATCTCTTGGGAATGACTCTAAAGTTGCCCAAGAGGTAGGTGAACTTGAGGAACTAGAAGAGTTAGACTTATCCATCGACATCAACAAGGCCATTGATGAGGAGGTTCTCAAAGAACTTGCTCTGTCCATAAGTAAGATGCACTCCCTGCGGTGGCTCAGTATCGGACGATATGTACGTAGTAATGATGGTGGCAAGATACTAAACTTTCTCCATCACCTACCAACACCACCACGACTCCTCCAAAACCTTTGGATCAGAGGTGACATTGCCAATGGGTTGCCTAGCTGGATCGGGTCACTCGCACATCTTGTTAGTTTTACTACTATGATTACAACCGTTACTGATGTTGAGCTCTTTGGTGTCCTGTGTATGCTGCCCAACCTGAAGACATTGTACGTGACTTGGAACTGCTACAGCGGGGATGAGCTGGTTGCATGCACCATCCACAAATTTCCGGTGCTCAGGGACCTGATACTTGGAGGTTATCTACCCAAAGTTATTCGGTTTGAGGAAGAATCGATGGCAATGCTTGAGATGCTTAAACTTTGCTTTGACTATAGGTCCAGACACGTGGCGGAGAGGAGCATCGTTGGCATTGAACACTTGACCAACCTGAAAAATGTTATGCTCGACTGTCGAGGTGACTATCATGCACTAGTCGACACAATATATAGGCTTGATCAGATGAAGGCTGAGAATGATAGGCGCTCGAGGTCCAACCAATTCCAAATTGCAGTTAAATATTCATGATTGTTGTATCGTCTTAATTACTACTGTTGAGAACATCAAAGCTGGTTCTCCAGCTGTGTCTCTTTTGTACCGTTTATAGTACTGCTGCTTTTCCTCCTAACGTTATGTAGTCTTCCCAAAAAAAAAGAGAGTTCCCTTGTCTTTATGGAAAACGTACTAGTTTGTGTGTACACTATTGTGCACTTGTGATTTCAGGTGAGCCTTCCACAGACTTGTGTTTGTGTTGGACATTACACACGCTACTTGATGTACCTCCCGCAGTGCGAATTAAGGGACCCAACTATCAGAGCCCTGCTTCCCAAATCTCAGTTCCCCTTCCTGCTAACACCTGTCGCGCCCACGGTAGTGCCTATCCCGCCTAATTCGGCACTTGGCACTTGGCTTGGTGGCTTCGCGTCGGAACGAACGACTACCAGGCTGCAGCGCAAGGGACCGTCCCCCTATGGTTATGTCTCTCCGTGTCTCTGCCCTCGTCCCGCGCACCGCCAAGCCAAAGGTCCAGAACGAGGGGCCTCCTCTGTCCTCTGCTTGACGACCAAAGGATGGCGGAAGGTTGGTTTTTCTGGTCTCTTAATTCATTTTGGGACAGCGCTCTACTTTCGCTTGCTGTGAAGGCGGCTGTACTTTCTGGTGTTTTGCTACCGATGCCGGAAGCGCATGCAGGGCAGGTCGCAGCCCAATCAACAACAACTCAAAGCCACAAAGTCGCCTAACAGGAGTGCGACATCTCCATGGACCGTAGTCTCAAGAGCGCAGGAGCTGACGTGCAGCTGCAGCCTTGTCTCAAGCACCGTTGCTCCTACACGATGAGGAGGGTCTCCTGGCGTCGAAGATGGAGGGAGGGCCTGCCCAATGCGCGTGCAGGGGAGTATTGCAACGGCTACGGCAGCATGAGGTTGCTGCTCTGCTTCGACGACTTTATGCTGAGCTGTGTTAGCATTGCTCAAAAGGATGATCCTAATCCTGTATCACAGAGTTAAGCAATCCACCTCTGTTGGGCTGGGCCACGGCGAGGAAGTCGCACTAGGTGGCCCAGCCCAACTCACGCACTACCTGGCTAGGGTCGTGTCTGGCTAGCGTGGATCAACTCATGCATCAGGGCTTATTCGGATACACTCGTTATCTCAATCCACCTCTGTTGGAGTGTATTGAGATGAAGATGAAAATTAAAATAAGTTTCATCTCAATTCACTCAAAATACGAGTGTATCCAAACAAGACCTTGGATGGTGTCGCGTGGCCTGGATCAAGCCTAAATAGGAGGTTGAGTCATGCATGCTCGACGGACTGCCATCAGTCGCTAGTACTTATTCAAGCAGAGTGATGAACACTACTAGTGCCTACGTTAAAGGTGGCGGTCAAAATGGCTTGACGAAGACGGACAGGGCATCCGCCTCCGATTAAATGTATGCGTTAATGGCGCTTTACGGAGGTGGGCGCCACGGCCGCCCCCATCAACCATGTTAACGTAGGCGGCTGCCTTAAGGAGACCGCTTATGTTAATATGCTTTAACGAAGGCGGTCGTTAGAAGGCACCCGCCTCCGTTAAAGGATTAATGGAGATGGCCCTATTTAATATGCCCTGTTTAAAGAATATTTTTTTTGCCATTTTATTTCAATTTGAATTCTCTTTTCACAAGTTAAACACATACAAACAAATATAAAATATTGTGCAGATCCCTTTTATGCTCCTTTTTAATATTGCCGTAGACATGTTAAGCAGTGGCGGAGCCACAGCCCTGCAAGTCCGACAGCTACTAGTATATATACTAGTATATACATAGCTGTATTTCTGTATCTATATCTATACCTAATATTAAAGAGGCAAAATTTCTCTCCCATTTTTTTTGTCTGGCCCTCTCTAACTATGTGAATGTGGTCTCTGTTCGACTATGTAGGCTACAACCGTCCTGTTTTATATGACATATGAAAGACTTCTTAAGGTAACCTAGATAGCTAGGAATTCTAATCCAAATACGGAGTATATCTTAATCGAAATCCAAATAGAAAAGGATAAGATTAGAAATCTATTCTAATATTAAACCACAGTGAGTTTTGTAGTTTCAGTTTTTTTATCTTAATCAGAATCCAAATAGAAAAGGATAAGAGCAGAAATCTATTCTAATATTAAACCACAACGAGTTTTGTAGTTTTAGTTTTTTTAAAACAAATCTGTTTTTTTTCCAAAAACGTTGAGACCCTGTGGATCAGAAAGAGCTGAGTCCTTGTCGGTTGAGATCGCGGTTGAGATCCTGTGCGTCAGGAAGACAAGCTGAGTCCTTGTCGATCGTACACTTTTTCTAATTACCTTTCCTGTTCGGATGTTTTTTTCATGCCTTTTTTAATTTCTTTTTTCTTTTTTCTCCAGTACCGATTACGATTGGTTACGGTTTCGTTTTCCATTCTTATTTATCACATTCAATAAAACATGCTTCCATTCTATTATTTTTATTGTTCACGTTCAACTAAATGTAAATGTGAAAATATAAACAAGTATTATATAAATAATAATAATAAAAATAAAGAATAAAAACAACACAATATATAGGCTTTGAACTCCTGACCATCAGTATCACTACGAAATAAATATTTGTACCACCAAATTATTAATGTAATTTCAGTCCATAGTCTAACCGATCAAACCATGAAACTAGATCTTAAGTAGTTTGTTATCCAGTCTGATATAAATAAATGTGCATCATGTACTTATGTACCTGTGCAATCAAAGATAATAGAAAGATGAGGAAAATCAGACATACTAGCCCTTGATACATGAGTAACTAACTCCACACTGATTTGAGTTATTGATAACTAACTCCACGATGACTTGAGTTACAGATTTTTACTGTCTCCAAAAGAATTCGTGAACCTTGATAATTAACGGTATCAGAGTTAAGCAATGAACGCGAAGCTGGGCCACGGCAAGGGAGTCGCACTAGGTGGCCCAACTCACGCACAACCGGGCTAGGGTCGTGCCTGGCTAGCGTGGATCAACTCATGCATTAGGGCTTGTTTGGATGCACTCGTTATCTCAATCCACCTGCGTCGGAGTCCATTGAGATGAAAAATAAAATAAGTTTCATCTCAATTCACGCATAATACAAGTGTATCCAAACAAGACCTTAGATGGCGTCGCGTGGAGTGGATCAAGCCTAAATTGGAGGTTGAGTCGTGTCTGCTTAACGGACTGGCATCAGTTGCTAGTACTTATTCAAGCGAGTGATGAACACTACTAGTGCCTACGTTAACAACGGAGGCAGACACAGGGCGTCCACCTCCAATTAAGTGCCATCGTTAATGGCGCTTTACGGAGGCGGGCGCCCTGGCTGCCTCCATTAACCATATTAACGTAGGCAGCCATAATATCACTAGTAGAGAACAAACTTTTAGTTTTTGGCTTTAGTTCCGGCCATATTTGAGCTTAGGACTAAAGATAGGATTAGTCCCGGTTAGAGCCACCAACCAGGACTAAAGTCCCCTGCCCAACGGCTAGAGCCGCAGACTTTTGTAGGAGGGGATCTCTAGTCCCAGTTGATGTCTCCACAATATGATTTAATGGAGGCGGTCGTTAGAAGGCGTCCGCTTCCGTTAAAGCATTAAAGAAGATGGCCCTGTTTAAAAAATATTTTTTTCATTTTATTTGAATTTGAGTTCTGTTTTCACAATTTAAAAACAGACAAACATATATATATATATATATATATATATATATATATATATAAAATTGTGGAGATTCCTTTTATGCTCCTTTTTAATATTGTCGCAGATATGTTAAGAGTCATGATAAAGAGGGTGAAAAATGATTGGCGGATCAAGGGTATAGTACTGTTGAGATTAATTAATTAAGTGATCAAATTGTTAATCTCGTCATTAGCAGACAGTCCCTGTAGACATAATAGATAGGCACCTTTTCATCTGAGTCACTGACAAGGCAACTGCCTATTGTATATATACACTACAATTCATCAATGATAATACACATCGGTCATTTTGCACCAACATACATGTTGCATTTGTAATTTTATAATAGAATTGGGTATGTTGGTGCCCCCAAATCCCTTTTGCACCACATACATGTTAAATTAGCTAGTGATTTAGATGCAATTTAACAAAGTTATCCACAGAATTAGAATACTTTAATTACTGTAGGTTTAAAATTGTAATATATATCTTGATTATTTTGGTTAATTGACACAAGGTAATGGAGTCTATGGCATTGGCTGCGTTTAATTCCTTGTGAATTATCCTGCCTAGAGACCATGCCATAGCAGTGATTAAATCACTCGTTACTGAGTGGTCTACATCAGGTTTCTCTGAGACTTGATGATTACCTACACTGTGTTTTTACCCAAAATAATGGTTTTGGATTGTTATAAATGGTCTACATCCACGCGATGATTACAATTTTCATCATATTATTTTGCTATTACACAAGATGGTAGAGACCTAAGCAATGGCTGCGTTTAATTCACTCATGAATTATCCTACCCAGAGACCGTGCTTAGGCAGCAATATATTTGTCCACCATAAAGATCTACTCTTTGTCTTTGACATAGAGACTATCTACCTTGTGTATATTAAAATTTATGATAATTTGCTGTAGGGTATACACAATCTTTGTGATTAGCTACAACTCTTCAAAACTATGATAAGATATAAATTTAAAAAAATATTGCATTTAGTATTACAACATTACCATGTTGATTTTAATTTACCATATGGTAAATTAATTAATCCATGGTTGTCCACGTAGGATCATAGCCACTAAGGAGTTCGAGGAACTCGCGTCAAATGGCAGCAATTACCCTACATGAGCTTCTGATATCAAGATAGCGCTTGCATCTCGTAGTCTTTTGGCTACAATTCAGGAACCCCAAACTAGGGTTGTCTGGCAAGATAAGCATACCCATACTGCTTTAGCCTTGCTACGGTTTTATATTCATAAGGACCTTAAATCTGAATATCTTATGATTGAAAATCCTCGCGAATTATGGGTCGCTC